AGTTCTTTTATTTTAATGGCATCTGTCCAAAATAGCGCCATTCCACCTGCTCTATTAACTGCATCCACTACATAACAGTTCTCCATTCCCAGTTTTTTTTTGGATTTTCTGCATCACATTTTCCTTATTTTTGGTTTCACTCATCATAATCATATCAGGGGAGAGGAGTTTGTTAAAAAACTCCCTCAGTTGGGGAACTGTCAAGGGGCTCCCTGCTCCTTGGCAATTCCACACCATTATCTTCATGGATTACTGGAGGACCAGTTGAGGCTGATCCCCATCCCTTCAATGCTGATCCCCATTCCTTCCCCTTGTGAACCACTCTGATAGCTTGCATTCTCACATCTTATCTTTTTGCCTGTCTGATCCTGTCCTGCAACCTCTGCCATTTCTTCATCTCTCAACTGGAATTTTCTTTTTCCCAGATCTTGTACCTCATTCTGTTGTCCTGTGATGTCCATTAAAGGTTGTCTCTTCCTGTATTGCATTTTGACTCCTCGTTTGGTCTTTCCTACTCCTTTTGTTTTCTGTACCTCACCAGTCTCTTGTGTATCTGACTTTACTTGCATGCATTCTAACTCTTTGCTTTTGTTCCCTACCAGCAGGTCATTGTTGGATTCTCCTTTTGCACACTCCTCTATCTCTGGATTCACTGGTTGCTGTGTTCTTGGTTCGTCAGTCAGTTGTTCCAAGTTATTGTTATCAGAATCTGCTGACTTCCCTTCATTCCCCTCCTGCTCCCATCTCAGCTGTCCTCCCTCCATTTCCTGATCTTTTCCTACATCTTCCTCATGGTTCCTTTCAGGGAGCATCCTTGATGTGATAGGTTTGTAGCTCCTGTCTCCTTCCTCTCTTTGTCCCATATTCCTTGTTGCCTTACATTTTTCTAAGATTTCCTTCTGTGCCAATGTAGGAGCCTGGAACTTAGGGATGAGTTCTCCATTCCTGTAAAACCAATGTTGTCTATCATTAACTTTGCTGTTCGAGTAGCTCTTTTCCTGTTGTGGTGATAATTTCCCCCCACCTGCTCTCATCCAAGGACCATATTGGTTCTCACTTTGTCCTCTGCTTAGTATTATTTGTGTCTTGCAACCCCTCTCACTATGTCCAATCATTCCACAGTGATAGCAGAAATCCGGACATCTTTCATATTTAAACTGTAACCATTTATATCCTCCATCCAATTTCACAGCTGTCCCTCTAGGAAGGGGTTTACTTAAGTCCATTGTAACCCACATTTTCAAGTGTTTCCCTTCTTTTCCTCCCCCTTGTGGTATGATTACCTCCTTCACTTCTGCAAATATACTTCCTATTTTCCTGCCAACTTCCTTTGCAATCCAATGTATGGGCAAATTCCAAACCTGTACCCATAATGGAACTAGATTAAAAGCTGCCTCATCCTCCTCAATCCCAGCTTTCCATGGTTTAAGTACCAGGATCTGGTTATCCATAATCCATGGTCCTCCATTCAGAATTTTTTCCCTTTCCTCCACTTTTGGAATGATAAACTGGAATAGATTTGGTCCAAGTTCCGTTGTTCCTAACTCCTTTGGGTATCCCCATGCTGCCGTAACAAACTTCTTCACACCTGTGAAATTTGCAATTTTTTCACCCCTAATTCTTCCAATTAAACTATTTTGGCGTTCCATTATGCCATTGTCAGCATCCTTTGCATCTAATTCAGCTCCCTGCATTTCTGACAATGATAGAGCAAATCTTTGAACAATCTCTGCCAAATCGTCCTCCATGACTAATAGACCAGATACTTGGGGGACTCCCTCGCTAATCACAGCCAAATGTAACAGGTCCACGTACTCCTAAGATGAAACTGACTAAGCCAGCAAAAAATAAAGCAGTGCAACCTTCAAAACACTCAATCTACTCAACACATACAGAAAAGGCAGAATTTAAAGAAGATTTTAGACAAACAAACAAAGAAACACTGAGATAAACACTGAGAAGAACACAGAGATCTTGCAAGGTTAAGGATTTATGAAATTCTTAGCTCATGAAGACCGCACAAGAACATGGGAAGAACTGTAAACTAGAAAGTTTACCGCCTATTTAGTAGTCTTTGTTCCTTTCGTACTTTCACACCCGCAGATGCTTGTAACTAAGCTTCTTTAGATGGTCAGCAATGTTGCTTCTGGGTATACATCATCCCTGCCACTTGGATTTTCTGGTGGAGTTTCAGCTAGCACTTCTGCTTTAAATATCTGGTAAAGGTGGAGCTTCAATTTGGACTCTAGTATATTAAAGGTTCTTGGATCACGATTGTGTTGGTGGTGGTGTTTGTTGAGTTTTAGAGCGCAAAAGTTTTTTGAAAGTTTGAACTTTTGGTTGTTGGAAAGCTCCCACCTTGGGGAGAGAATCTCAAACTAGAGAGAGAAAGCCACTACCTTAGAGAGTGGTTTTCTACATTCATAGTCATATCCACCTGTGCATATTTTAATAACCACATAAAATTAGACATACTTTAATAAGAAATTGCAAGAAAATGAATGGTAAAGCCTCTTTGATGCAATTGTATGTAATTGTCTTGTTCATCTTTTCTACTAACAAAACAAAAAAATACAATTTGCGAGTTACAACCACGCTTTCACTTTTATCAGCCTATTATAAAAATAAGAAAAAACCTTTTCATGGATATAGAAGCCATCATCCTTCACAAACCAAGTGCATTTGTTGAGCCTGTATATAATTTTGCCACAAAATTCACGAGCCAAATCCAAGTTAAAAATTATAAAATTTCTATGCCTTTTACCCTATTGAAAATGACAGACGTGTGAAGTTGTTTCGAAATAATCTAGACGAAATTTCCTATGGAAATCATCGTTGAAACGAAGAGTGTGACATCCAAGCTCCTCATCTTTGGATTGGCAACACATTACATTACTAATGGAATGGAATTGTTTGGAAGGTTATTGACTACACGAACATAATACCCCTCGAACGAAGGTTGACATAATAGGAATTCATTCATAGTATATGAAACTTAGAAACAACATGAATATTTTTGTCACCAATCTATCATCTTTTTCTGTTTGTGATGTCTACTCGGAAGACTGGCTACAACGGCGCTTGTACCACTATTACTGAGGTAGAAACCATCTTCCTTCACATACCAGTAGCAGTCGTTCACGAGACCAAAAAACCCAGTAGTGCAATAACGAAAAGCTATATCATGGTGAAAAACTACGAAACTTTTATTTCTTTCTGCCCACCAAAATTGACAGGAGTATACACTGGAACTGGTTTCCCAAGAACCTATGTGAAACTCCCAATGGAACTCTTCATACATGTGAAGGATATGAAATCCAACATCATCATCCTTTGACTGGCACTGTAAATCTAGGGAACTTGCATTGTTGGGGAGATTATTGGCTATATGAACACTATATTTCTGGCAAGCAACATGGATTTTTGTATTGTTTGACAGAAAAATGGAGAATAGAAGTAGGGTGAAAAGGGTTTTCAGTATAGTGTTGTTCATTTTTATCGGCTGAAATTTTTTGCTTCAATCTACTCGAAATGAGTTTTTAACAAGAGCAATATATAGAGAGAGAGCTAATCCATGGCAGTAAGGTTTACTTAACGAAAAAATGGGTAGTAAATTAAGCTTCTCCAACTTAAATGGTTAACATTGATCATGAAGATTTCAATTCGCCTCAGCCAAGGCCTTAATATAGCAAATTATCAAAGCTCAAAATGACAACATATGAAATCCATTTGCTATTATGGTAAGCAATGAAAAAAAAATCTTTTATTTTTCATCTCTCTCTTTGACATTTTCTAAGGATTTTTTTTTTTTCTAGGGTGTTCTAGATAGTATTGTTTTCATTTGTTAGAGAAACAAACAAACTAAAGTAAATTTCCGAAACATGACTAAATAATTGGGACGGAGAGAGTATCTACATTATTTCTCTAATTCAACCCACATCTTCCTGTACATTTGAGCAATTTAATATCAGTTACAAACATTACTGGTACCACCATTTATTCGCATTATGTTATGTACAACTATCACCCTGGTCAAGCCTGTAAAGTTATCATGGAATCAGCATTAGGCTAATAAGGGCAGGGTGTTTAAAGCCAGGCCTTGTTTGGAAAGGGATTTTTCATCAAAAAATTTTTACGTTTTTCGTAAACATATTTTTCAATCATCTTTTTATCTCATATATATATATATATATATATATATATATATATATATATATATATCAAATTGTTACAATACATTTTCTACAAAAATTCAAAAAAATTGCAACCCAAACACAACAATGTTCAGGTATTGAATGGGCATAGAAATCAGTCCTCATTTACGATTTCTAGTATACGATTTTTTTCAGGGGGTGAACAAATTACCACAGGCTCTATTGGGGTAGAGCAGATATTAAAAGCTTGTATTTTGAAACTTTAAAAAATGAGTTTTACAATCATTTTTTTTTTAATTTCATGCCACATTTATATGAAATATTACGGTATATTAAACATTCAAAAACAACTATTCTATTTCTAAGCAGTAATAATAATAACGATAATATTTAGCACTAAGGAATTTCCAAATTTATTGACTTAAAAAGACTTGAAAAGATAGCATAGGGTGGATCTATATATTATTGATAGGAGCTAACAAAAGAATAAAGTACACCTAGTATTGTTGAAATCAATTTGCAAAGAAAGCATCATTAGCATGAAATTTTGATTATCAATTTTGTTAAGGAGGAAATTAATCCAATACCAAATCTAAAGGAATTATAGTATCATACCTAATGCGAATATTCATTATTTATCAACAAATGTTTTTGTTAGAATTATGAATTAATGGGGATTGAACAAGAAAACTTGTTTCAAATTGCCCCTAAATATTGTTAATAAGAAAATTTGTAGCACCACATATTAAAGGAAATAAATAATAAAAAAAGAAAATTCCATTGGTAATTAAAAATAAGTTTTAAAATTATTCTCATTTCTCCTCAATTACCAAACTGCCAAACAAGACTGGAAAGATTACTACATCTTCTCACTCCTACACTCCCAAATTTGGCCTCAGGTGAATTCTAGATGCAAATGAAAAGACTGGGAAGTCGGGTTTTTAGCGGGTTTTAGCAAGAAAAGAGTTAAGGAAGAAATAGAGAAAAAATAGACAAATATAAGACTTGAGGCTAGAGAAAAATCGGGGTTTTCTTTGGGGGTTCTCCGACGAGGAAGGAGAAGCAGAGAAGACGAAGAGAAGAAAAATGGGGGATTTTTTCTGAGAATTATTTCTGAGAAAGAAACTTCAGAAAAGATTCGTCCTTTTTTCAAAGTCCCTCTTCTTCTTCTTTGGCTTCTCAAACTATTTTGCAGCTCAGCTCTCACTGTTCTTTATCTACTGAGGTACATGTTTCTTGCCAACTGAAAAATTCATCGGATAATTTCTTGTTAACAGTCTAATCGCGTATTGGATTTTTATCAGATTTTCTTGGATGCGTTTCTCCATAATGGTCCCTATTTTGTCTTTGTTTTCTTTAAATTTGATTATTCTTGGCTTATAAAATTCTTGAAATTTATGGAAACGGTGTACTAGTACTAATGTGTTAGGTACTTTCCTACGCCCTTACGTTATTGAAATACCTGAGCGGATATACTGATTTATAGAAGTAATCTCTCCTGGCTGCTCATGAATCTCTCCTGTACATGTAGAACCCTAATGGATTAATTCCAAGTTTTTCGTATCAGCTTTTTTTTTTTGAGCGCTTTTTTAGTGCATTTCCCTAAAGCTTTTCATCCATATCACAATGTGGAACCTTGTTTGTTTGGACTAGCTTTCGATTCATGTAGTGGAATTTGGCTAGTTCTCCGTGACCGTCTGCATTTCATTTGTCAACTTTTTGTGAATAATAGTTGTGGTTGGCCACTAATCCAATGTCATAATTGTTAGACCAGTAACATGATGTGCATTCAGGTTTTAAACATGCTATATTTGAGGATGGTTCGAAGATAAGATTTTGATTGCTTAAAGCAGGGGAGAATAATTGTTCATACACTAGCCTTTTGTTTTGTTTGGTTAGCAGACATTTATGTGGTTTTTTTTTTTTGCTTGTTAATTCTGACTTCTTGCCATTTGCCCCTTGATGATTGGAACATGAATTCAAGTGTACCTTTAAGTGGTGGAAACACTTGTTTGTGTGAAGCTTAACAGTTTTATTAGTCTCAGGCATCTTGAGTTATAGGTTTTTAGGTGTTTAACCATGAATGCATTAGGAGATTTTTGGGCTTTGCAGTGTAAACTAATCTAACTATTTATTTTCATAAGCTGAATTTCTCCTTTGGATCTGCGTGGGATTTCTGCTTCTTTTATTAATGATGGTTCTTGGTGGTATGTAATGCTAGGTTAATGATCTTTTGGTTGTGATTGTTCATCAGTTAGTCTTTAACTTTTTATATGCTAATGACATTATTTTTGCTCGCTGATATTTTTTTTTTTTTGTTACTTGGTTAGCTAGCATGAACTGTTGCATAAACCCTTTGCTCATGCAGTAAGCTACATAGTAAAGTTGGTCATTCTCTTTATACTTTGTGGTAGCTTTTTGTTATACTTGTAGAATTCTAGCATAATATGCGAGTCAATATCCAAAATGAGTTTTAACATTGTCACTTTTTTTGTCAAAAGGGGAACTATGCCCCAGCTTCTGCCCTTATTCTGCTACCCTTGAGTTGATACGTTTGTTTACTGCCAATATAAATTAATAATTACATCAAAATTGGAAGTTGTTGGTGTCAAAAGAAATAGCTAGCATGTACTGTTTTTTGCCTAATCAAAGTTGTCCAGAAAATATGAATGTGGTCTTTCAGCAGGAATGCTAAGTAGGGGGCTATCAACTGAGTAATCCATCTGTGGTTGGGATTTCTGAAAAGCTCTTGTTTATTAGCCCTTCTTTTTCCTAAATCAAGCTTCTTTTGAATTTATATCCTAATCTGATTTGTGGGGTGGTTATTTTTATCAGTTTTTCTCGAATTTGTTGGTAGTTGAGTGTCTGGAGGTGCTAAAAGCTTAAAACTTGGGAAGGGGCCATCCTGTTTTTGTACTTTATATTCCTAAAATTAATGTTATCAAGTTATTGGTGTTTCCTGAAAATCTATTTAGCAAAAGGTAGAGAATATGGGGATTGGGTTTCCAACTCTATGGAACTAAGAGGAAGTAGAATTCTCGATATCTTTTTTTCCCCCCGAGTATGATAACTTGTGTGGTTTAAGCTGACTTAAAAATTCTGCAGTTGAAGAAACTAATAGTAAAAATTTTACTTTTCTGCCTATAGTTGAGGATGTTAATATTTGTTGGCACTTCCTTTAAGGTTAGAGTACAACCTCATTTACGGATATGCCATTATTTGGTCAATTTTTCAAGTCTTGAAACTCATTATGAGTGCGAGTTCTGCTTGTTGGTTTCATGTAAAAGAACACAACTTTCTATCAGACATTGTTTGCATTTCAATTTCTTAGGCTTCTTCTTTGGCAATGCGATCATAAACTTATTTGGACAGGACATTAGTTTTCACAAAATTAAGGACGTTACCTGGTATAAATGGACAACGCGTGCAAAGTGGAAGAATTAGAGATGCCAGTAACAGGGATCTTTCAGCTACCAGGAGAACCTGCCATTGTGATAAATGGCCTGCCTCCAATGGGTCCAAGAGATTCTGCTCCTTCTACTAGTAATGTTGTTAGCGATGCTAAGCAACACGAAAATCCTGGTTTTGGTGAATGGTTGGTTGGAAGAGAAGTTCTGAAATTATTCGGAGGACAGTATTATGCTGGAAAAGTCGCCAAGTATGATGAGGAAATGTGCTGGTACAGGGTGGTCTATGAAGATGGTGACTCTGAAGATCTTGAATGGAATGAGTTGGAAGAAGTGCTTCGTCCCTTGGATATCATGGTGCCTTTGAAATCTATATCAGCAAAAATAATTAGGAGGCAACAAAAATCTGTTCAGAAGCCTGCAAAACTTGGGACTGGTAACATGCTAGGTTAGTCAATGAACGATGGTAACTCTTGAACAAGCTAGCTTCATGTCGGAAACTCATCAAAGCCAGCAAGCAGTTATATACCAGGCGAAGTTGCATCCGAATTTGTGCTGCCATTTAAATACGGTGTTGTGTCCCGATCCTGGTTTTAATAACTGAAGAAGAAAAATCTCATGATCGTCTAGTTGCCTACTTTCTAGGACTTGTATGTTTTACATGGGAGTAAAATATTGGATTTTGACCGATTTGTAGTTTCTAGTTGTGACTGTTGCATGAATTTCCAGAATTGCTGATCCGAAATAAACCAGACGGGGGAAAACAGTTCAACTATGGAATTTCTCATTTTATGATGGCCAGCAAGGGGAACCACTGGGCGGAAAAAGATTGGTGGAGTGGGGAAGGTAGGGTAGGTCGGCTTCGAATCTTTTGTCTTCAAATTAATTTCTATCTTCTCTGTCCTTTCTTTGTACAGTTGTCACGTGTTTCTAACTTTTTGATAATTTAAATTCAAACAAATCGATAATAATCGGGTGAAAAGTTTATTCAAAATCAATTAAAATAGATAATTCAAACTTTTTTTTTATTTTTGTTCTAACAAACTTTTGGGAATAGAGGAAATAGAGACTAATTTGGGGACAGAAAATTTGAAACCGGGTAGGTCGGACTGCAAAACTAGTTCTAACGATGCAAGGTTGTGAAATTTTCAACCCCAGTGAACTCCTCCAACATCTTTTCTCTAAACGAAAAAAACCAAAAAAAGAACAAAACGACCATCTTCCACGTACCTCCCGATATAAACAGAAGGTTTTCTGATTTAAAGAGTTAAATTTTACTGAGCAAAATGGCACATACCACAGTGAAAAACCTTCTAATTGTCTCCATCTTATCATTTTACTTTTTCGAAACTATCCTTGTAAATGCTTCTTTTGAGGGTTATTATGTTCAAGTGGTGAATCACCTCCCAAAGAAATTCCATTCCAGTAGAAATGTGTTTGCCAATCCAAAGATAAGGAGCTTGGATGTCACACACTCCATTTGAACAATGATTTCCATTAGGAGTTCAGTCCAGATTTTTTCAGGACAACTTCGTACGTCTAGCATTTCGAATGGGGTAAAGAACAAAGAAACCTTACAGTTTTTAACTGGGGACTTTGCTCGTGAATTTTGTGGCAAATTTTTATATAAGCTTAACAAGTGCAATTGGGTTGTGAGGAATGATGGCTTCTATATCCGTGAGAAGGTATTTGCTTGCGTTTATTGTAGGTTGATGAAAATGAAAGTGTGGTTGTAGGTCGCAAATTATATTTTGTTTTGGCAGGAAAAAAGATGAACAAGATAATTACATACAATTGCAATTAGCAAACTTTAACATTCATTTTCTTGCAATTTCTTATTAAAGAAAAAGATAACATAGGGAGAGGGTTGGGTTGGATTGGGTGGTAAGGTAGGAAATAACTAGACTTGAGTTCAATCTAAACCCATCCCAAAGTGATCCCGCCCAAGTTAGTCCCAAAACACATATGGGTAAGGTTGGACCCAAACTCATATGACTCGGTTCCATCTCAAACCCAAGCAAATCCCGACCATCCCGCCATCTCTACTATTTGCAAAAAAAAAAAAAAAGAGATAAAGATAACATTATGTCTCATAAAAAAAAAAAAAAAAGACAGAGGATTTGGATAGCCATTATTTGGCTCCAAATTATTTACTTGCATCACAAACGCAATTTTCAGCGCACCTTTTTATCTTTCCAATTAACTTTTGTATCTCACATACATCACATCACAAAAAGTGTTACAATAATTATTTCAAATAATATTTTAAATAATCTCCTGTCCAAACACTTAGTAGTCCTTAGCACTTCTCGTAGGATTTCAAATTTTTTCCCGCCATTTTTCATAGTGATGAGTTTGCTCTTGTGTAACGTACATATACAACTATTGATCATGATAAAGCAAGAATTTATGACGATTGGGTCAAAATGCATTTGTAATTAAACGAAGAAACTTCACTAATCTTAATTAAACAAAATCTTAATGTGTGAGAATCCTAACTGAGACAACAAATTATTAAAACATCATTTAGGTAGATCTGGTCTTTTTTTTTTTTTTCTCCAAACGATAACAAATAGGTAGATCTGGTCTTGAAAAAAAATTTTCTTTTCTTTTTTTTTTTTTTTGGTGAAAGTCTTGTAAACCAACATGTTTTAAAAATTTAGATCGTTTTAGAACATACAACTAATAATGCAAACAGTACAATCATGCAAAGCACTTATCTACAAGATCAAGTTTACCTAAAATATTTGACAAAGTTGCCAACACAGGATCGAGGACAACTATGTGTCCATTTTCGCTTCAGTATTGTATATTTATGCTGGAGAACATTGACAAGGCAGTAACTTTTTGTTAAGTCAAAGAAAAATAACTAAAACATCAAATGCTTTGACGTCGACTACTGACTTGCAATGTAGTAGCTTTGCCAATAACTTCCCTCCAGATTTGTAAAATCGTTTTTTTTATCAAAAAGAAAAGTGACATACAAAGTATTTCACCATTGTTGGTAACTAAATTAATTTAAATTAAGTGTAGGACAAGTTTTCTTAAATCTCCCTTCCGCACCCTCCTTTCTTAAATTCCAAAACTCCCTATGCTAGAAAAAAGAATTGAAATGTTTTCATAAACCTCCCCTGAGGTTTTTAACTATTTGACTGTCCTCCCTTCAGGTTTTGAAAATTACACTAACCTCTCTTGAGCTTTTTTATCATGTAATATTTGGGTCCAATCAACAATTTAAAAATGATATTAGAAGAGAGAGAGAGAGAGAGATAATATGATTCCACCATTACCCCCTCATCTACTAAATTGTTTAATTAATTTAACACCAATCCAAACATTAAAAAAATATTAGAATTTGCTGTTTATCATCAAGAATTAAATCACAGATGGCATCAAAAATAGTATATCATTTTATATATTTCACTTAAAGTAAGATCTAAATTGCTCTTTTCAGTTATGAACCCATTGTCAAACAAGATCAACAACAAATAATTAAAAAAATTGTAACCAAAATATTATAAAGAGCGAACTTTAATACCATAAAAATCTCAGTATCTAACATTAATATGTTGACAAGAATATTTATGAAAGCTTGTTCTTTGTAATATTTTGGTTTCAATTTTTATTGATTATTTGCTATTGATCGTATTTGACAGTGGATTTGTAATTGAAAAGAGTAATTTAAATCTTATATTAAGTGAAAAATATAAAATGATATATATATTTTTGATATTATATGTGATTTGAACCCTAATGATAAATAGCAAATTTTTGTATTTTTCTTTAATGTGTGGGTTGATATTGAATTAATTAAATAATATAATAGAAGAGAAGCAATGATGAAATCATATTATCTTTTATCTCTTAATATCACTTTTTAATTATTGATTTGGTCTAATATTACAAGATAATTAATTTTAAGGGACGTTAATGTAATTTTTAAAACATGGAGGGAAGCTAGTGAAATAGTGAGAGATCTCAGGGGAGGTTTCTAAAATTATTCCTTGATTTTTTTTGATGCTAAACACCACTTATTAAGAATTGTCATGATAGATTGGAAAGAAGGAGAACCTTGTGTGGTCTTCCTCTTTCTTTTTCTTCTAGGGATAATTTCAGAAACCTCCCCTGAGGTTTCTGACAGTCTCAAGGACCTCCCCTGAAGTTCCGAAAATCCCTTATACCTCCCCTAAAACTAAGTAGATAGTTTCAGGTCCAACCCAATTGAGGTGGACAATGAATATAAAATGTGTTTTAGGAGAGAGAAAATAATCAAATTCCACCTCTGCCCTCAAGATTGTCATTAGTGAGGATGTTTATGTTGAAAATTTCAATGGAATCTAGTTCCTTTGAAATTGCGGGGGGTGTATGTGAAACTGATGGAAAAAGGTAAGGCTGTATTGCAAGAAATTGTCTTCTAGTTCACTCTCAAAGTAGTTCTTTGTGACGGTAATAAGAAACAGTAGTGTTGCTTTGGAGCTCTATATAATTGCCTACTGAAGTTGCAAGAGAAACCAGTGAATGTTGTTGGGTTATGACTGAGGTTTCTGCAAAAGTGCTCATACAAGTAGCAAAATTCTAATCAAAATCTATTTTTTGATCACAACAAGAAGTGTCACCTATAACAGGAGCGGGCAGTTTAGAAATTTATTTATCGGATAAAATAAATTTAAACCCATTGTTGAATAAAAGACCACACATGAAAATAATTTTGTAATATGATTTGGACTGCTTTGTTACCAAAAACTCAAATTCATAGAGGAAAATTTTAGTGAGCCTCTCCATCCTGAGTTCTTGGCATGAAGGCTGGCAATACATGTCTGCACTTTCAATTATGATAGAATGCTTAATGTCGCTGAGAAACTTAGGCTCTTATTTAGTGCTTACGAAAAAATGGGAGAGAATTTTTTTTTTTTCTAAAAAATATAAGAATTGAAAACCTGATTTATAGCAACCAAGAAACTCGATTTCAATATCATGAGCATGATATTTATATTCTCACAAGGGACTATATTCTGGACAAGTCTCTTTGAAAAGATGAACCACAATGGATTCTAAATGTGGTGTATATTTCGGTGATGTGGGAGTGATGGAGTTTTACAAAATATAAATTTCTGGTTTCATGAATATGGAGAAAAATGGGTGCCAGAATGTATGATGTTATGAGCACCACAATGGCCACTAAAGGCAAACATCCAGGTTGAAACAATTTTGACTTGCAAGAAATTGTCTTCTAGTTCATGCCAACGGCTCTCAAAGTAGTTCTTTGTAACGGTAATAAGAAACAGTAGTGTTGCTTTGGAGCTCTATATAATTGCCTACTGAAGTTGCAAGAGAAACCAGTGAATGTTGTTGGGTTGTGACTGAGGTTTCTTCACTGCCAAAATTCGTTGTTGAATAAAAGACCAGCTCTTTATGCCTTTCGTCCATTATACTCACAGAATACCCAAGGTGCCTTAAATAGAAATTTATTTATCGGATAAAATAAATTTAAACCCATTGAATGCCGAAAATAAAATAAAATAAAATAAATTTATTGAATTAAAATAAATTTTTTTTCCAGTTCTAATGAATTTAGAGCCTTAACTGCTAAAATTTGTAGACGCTTTCATTGCAAATTGTAAATCATTTTATAATTTGCAGTTAAATCATTTATATTGAGTACATGGCATTACAGCTGAAGCAAAAGGAAAAATCATGCCAAAATATGGAAGCATCATACGAAACAATGATGGGAAACTGAGGTACATGACCTTGCATTTGTTAAATGCAAGGTACATGACCTCGCATTGAAGGAAAATGGGTACTCTGTAAGTATAATGGACGAAAGCCATAAAGAGCTGGTCTTTTATTCAACAATGGGTTTAAATTTATTTTATCCGATAAATAAATTTCTAGAAAATTTTCTAGGCAATTTTC